TCAACTGGTTCACATAGCCAATTTCATTTTTAGCAGAAACAGCGAAAAGATATCCAGTTCCTTCTTTTAGATCAGTGACCTTGAACTGTGTGTCATAACCTTTGACTTCATCAACTTTGACCCATTTGTCAGATTTTTCATCACATTTCTCAATTTTGTATCCAGTGACCTTGGAGCCACCGTCTTCTGTTGGTGCTTTCCAGTCCAGTAGGACGAAATCCTGACCGACTTTGGCAACCTTCAGTTGTTTTGGGGCTTCAGGTGGGTCTGGAAAAATAAACAGTCACATGGCATGAGAAATAGAACCTTGGATTGAAGCAATGCAAACAAGTAAGAAGAATATTTGACTTATTTCTGGAAGAATAGAGAAAACACAATATCATATGTTTGACTTAAGCCATGAAAAGACGAGGCACAGTGTTCACTATGGTGTACAGGGCTAAATTATTGATACAGTAGAAAATATTAAGAGTGAAGCGTGCCTGCACTGTGTTCGACCCCATACATTGTGTATTCACTTCTATTTTCAACTGTTACGATAATCTCGATCTTTTAGCCATACCTCATCTTTCCACCTTAAGACTTCTCCTATCTATTAAAATTGTTAATTACAATGTAATACGTAGTATAGATTACATATCACTAAATGAATAGGCTAAATAATAACCAGTCTACAGATACACACAGATATACTTACAGATGTTGACATCACTGATAGATGAGTTATCAAGGTCTTTAAAGAAATAAGGATTATGCAAATAACATGCATAGTAACTTACTGATCTTCTTCTTAGGTTCAGCTGTTTGTTTGGTTTCAAGTGGTTCACTCTTTCCTTCGTCATTAACAGCAATAACTCGGAATAAATATTCATTTCCTGGTTTTAAATCACCTACAGTGAATTCTGTTTTATCAGCATCTACACTACCAACTGGAGACCATACAGATTTAGTGGAGGGTCTCATCTCAATAATGTAGGATTTCAGTGGAAGTCCACCATCAGATTCTGGAGCTTTCCATGTCAAATCAGCTGTTTGGTCAGTGACATTGTCAATGGTTAATGGACCACCTGGTTTGGATGGTTTATCTGTAATTCAAAGGGAAACATGAACAGTCTAAGATAAATATCTTAAGGTTAAGTAGTAGTTTATTTTGAATTATGTAACAGGCATTAGCCTTTTCCTTCAGAGAATTGTTTAAAAACATGTTTTAAATAGTTGATGATGTTTAACTGCCAATATCCACAGCTAAATATCAGGAGATTACATACTAATGGTTATTATTGTCCATATACACATAAAATATGCAAAAATTAGACAAAATACCAAATATTATTTTTAATAATCTTCACAAAATCTACTTATAATTGTGATATCTTATATGGAAGACCGAACAGCCCAATATTAAGTCAAATTACTTGACAAATTGTTGATATAGAGAACAAATTTTGATTTTTATGAACTAATGATCATTTAAAGAAACAAATGTCAAAATGACCAATAAATGAAGGAGTTGGAATTAAGCATTATGGACTAAGGATTAAGGATTAAGACATCTTAATATTGGGCTGTTTGATCTTCCATAATCCTATTCTATGGGAATATAAGAGAATAATGACTTACCAAATTTACTCTTGGCTTTGATTGGTTTGTCAGTTTCCAATGGTTCACTGGTTCCAATTTTATTTTCAGCCAAGATCTTGAAATGATACTCAGTGTCTTCAATTAGATTGGAAATCTTATAAACTGTTTTTTCAGGGCTGATTTTTTCAACTTTAGTCCAGATACCTTTCTTGGCTTCACGTTTTTCAATGATATAGCCAGTTAAAGGTGAACCACCATCATCTTTAGGTTCTTTCCATTCTAGAGTGACTTCTGTTCTATCAATATCTATAGTTTTTATTGGACCAGTTGGTTTACTGGGTGCAGCTATAAAAAAGGGGAAGAAACTTATTATAAGTAGAATGTGCCAAGATAGCATTGTCCCTCAAAGACAAAAAGGGTCAAAAACCCTAATTTGGGTAAAAACTGTTGTTTTCTTTGTGGAGTCTGCCTGTGGCATATTTAGGCAGTATTTTTGGGCCCTGACCCCCACTTAGACCAAAAATCTGTTCTTCTACTTTCACTTCCAACATCGCTTTAGATGTATTCTCCAGTCTCTCACATTAGCAAATTTTCAAGTCGAGGCCGGCTTATACCCTCACCATGGCTAATGTCAACTTACCTTCTTTCCTCTTTGGTTTAACAGCTTTGTCAGTTTCAACTGGTTCACCATAACCAATTTCATTTTTAGCAGAAACAGCGAAAAGATATCCAGTTCCTTCTTTTAGATCAGTGACCTTGTAGGATGTATCATAACCTTTAACCTCTTCAACTGTGACCCATTTATCGGATTTCTCTTCACATTTCTCAATTTTATATCCAGTGACCTTTGAACCTCCATTGTTTTCTGGAACTTTCCAGTCCAGCAAGACAAAGTCATCACCAACTTTGGAAACTTTGAGGCTTTTAGGAGCATCTGGAGCCACTGAAAGCAAAATCACAATTTTTTAAGTTTAAAATTTACTTTCACTTTCCACTTTCTGCTAAAGCACTTGGTATTTTTTACCCATTTTAGAAGTTTTTCAACGTTCAGTTTGTTTAATTTTGATCATGGTACAAGAAAAAATCAATCTAAGACTCACCAATCTTTTTCTTAGGTTCAGCTGTTTGTTTGGTTTCAAGTGGTTCACTCTTTCCTTCATCATTAACAGCAATAACTCGGAATAAATATTCATTTCCTGGTTTTAAATCACCTACAGTGAATTCTGTTTTATCAGCATCTACACTACCAACTGGAGACCATACAGATTTAGTAGAGGGTCTCATCTCAATAATGTAGGATTTCAGTGGAAGTCCACCATCAGATTCTGGAGCTTTCCATGTCAAATCAGCTGTTTGGTCAGTGACATTGTCAATGGTTAATGGACCACCTGGTTTGGATGGTTTATCTGTAATTCAAAGCGAAACATGAACAGTCTAAGATAAATATCTTAAGGTTAAGGAGTAGTTTATTGTGAATTATGTAACAGGCCTTAGCCTTTTCCTTCAGAGAATTGTTTAAAATAGTTGATGATGTTTAACTGCCAATATCCACTTTTGAAGTCAAGAACAGCTAAATATCAGGAGATTACATACTAATGGTTATTATTGTCCATATGCATATAAAATATGTAAAAATGAGACAAAATACCAAATATTATTTTAATAATCTTCACAAAATCTAATCATTTTAATATTCATAATTGTGATATCTTATTCTATGGGAATATAAGAGAATAATGACTTACCAAATTTACTCTTGGCTTTGATTGGTTTGTCAGTTTCCAATGGTTCACTGGTTCCAATTTTATTTTCAGCCGAGATCTTGAAATGATACTCAGTGTCTTCAATTAGATTGGAAATCTTATAAACTGTTTTTTCAGGGCTGATTTTTTCAACTTTAGACCAGATACCTTTCTTGGCTTCACGTTTTTCAATGATATAGCCAGTTAAAGGTGAACCACCATCATCTTTAGGTTCTTTCCATTCTAGAGTGACTTCTGTTCTATCAATATCTATAGTTTTTATTGGACCAGTTGGTTTACTGGGTGCAGCTGTAAAAAAAGGAAAAAAATCATTATTAGTATAATTTGCCAAGATAGCATTGTCCCTAAAAAAAAATATGGGTCAGAAACCCTGATTTTGGTAATAACTGTTGTTTGCTATGGGGAGTCTGTCTGTGGTATATTTAGGCAGTAATTTTTAGGCCATGGCCTCATATTGGGGCCAAATTTTTAAAATTCTACTTTCACTTCCAAAATTGCTTTAGATGTATTCTCCAGTCACTTATATTTGCAAATTTTGAAGGGGAAGGACAGCTTACCCTCACCATGACTAGTGCCCTTTAATATCCACATAACGATGCCAGGGTTTCGCTACTATGAGTCTCTGAAAAGGACACGCCCAGTTACGGAGTAGACTTATACCCTCAGGAAATATCATCAACTTACTTTCTTTCCTCTTTGGTTTAACAGCTTTGTCAGTTTCAACTGGTTCACCATAACCAATTTCATTTTTAGCAGAAACAGCGAAAAGATATCCAGTTCCTTCTTTTAGACCAGTGACCTTGTAGGATGTATCATAACCTTTAACCTCTTCAACTGTGACCCATTTATCGGATTTCTCTTCACATTTCTCAATTTTATATCCAGTGACCTTTGAACCTCCATTGTTTTCTGGAACTTTCCAGTCCAGCAAGACAAAGTCATCACCAACTTTGGAAACTTTGAGGCTTTTAGGAGCATCTGGAGCCACTGAAAGCAAAATCACAATTTTTTAAGTTTAAAATTTACTTTCACTTTCCACTTTCTGCTAAAGCACTTGGTATTTTTTACCCATTTAAGAAGTTTTTCAACGTTCAGTTTGTTTAATTTTGATCATGGTACAAGAAAAAATCAATCTAAGACTCACCAATCTTTTTCTTAGGTTCAGCTGTTTGTTTGGTTTCAAGTGGTTCACTCTTTCCTTCATCATTAACAGCAATAACTCGGAATAAATATTCATTTCCTGGTTTTAAATCACCTACAGTGAATTCTGTTTTATCAGCATCTACACTACCAACTGGAGACCATACAGATTTAGTGGAGGGTCTCATCTCAATAATGTAGGATTTCAGTGGAAGTCCACCATCAGATTCTGGAGCTTTCCATGTCAAATCAGCTGTTTGGTCAGTGACATTATCAATGGTTAATGGACCACCTGGTTTGGAAGGTACGTCTGGAATAGTTTTAAAAAAATCACTGATTACTTATAACTGATAACTAATTATGACAAACTTCTTTTAAATTGAATTGTGAGCATGCCCTACCTTGACAGAAATATCCACCGTTATCAGAATTGTAAACACATGCCCAAATATTTGTTCTCTAAAAATCACTGAACTTACCAAATTTACCCTTGGCTTTTACAGCAGTTTCAGTTTCCAGAGGTTCACTAACACCAACTTTATTTTCAGCTGAGATCTTGAATTGATAATCTGTACCTTCAGCCAGACCAGTCACCTTATAGATAGTAGCATCAGGGCCAATCTTCTCTACCTTGGTCCACAAACTCTTCTTGGCTTCACGTTTTTCAATGATATAGCCAGTCAAAGGTGAACCACCATCATCTTTAGGTTCTTTCCATTCTAGAGTGACTTCTGTTCTATCAATATCTATAGTTTTTATTGGACCAGTTGGTTTACTAGGTGGGCCTGTGAAAAATATCAGTGAAATAGTAAAACCAATAGGAACAGAAATGAAAAAAAATTCATCAAAAGCAAGACAAGACAATTCTATTAATCAAAATCTCGTCCAAATTATGGCAAAATCAAGAGTAGTAGTTGTATAGTAATGGACTTCTCCAATCCAAAGAGAAGTAACATCAGATGTTTCGAAAAGAGAAAGCATGTAATATACAGTTTACTCAAATATTATTTTTGAACAGTCAATCAATAATTATGGTATAATTTATTCATGTCCATGCAGATACTTTGTTTGCTTTGACTGAAGGTCCAGCAACCATTTAGGTTTGGAAATTTCAGAGTCAAAGATTTTCAAATGACAGAAATTACTTACATTCTTTTCTCTTTGGTTTAACAGCTTTGTCAGTTTCAACTGGTTCACCATAACCAATTTCATTTTTAGCAGAAACAGCAAAAAGATATCCCTTGCCTTCTTTAAGACCAGTGACCTTGTAGGATGTATCATAAGCCTTGACCTCTTCAACTGTGACCCATTTGTCAGATTTTTCATCACATTTCTCAATTTTGTATCCAGTGACCTTTGAACCTCCATTGTCTGCTGGTGGTTTCCAGTCCAAAAGAACAAAATCATCACCAACTTTGGAAATCTTCAGTTGTTTGGGAGCTTCAGGGGCAACTACAAAGAACAAAATTTAAAGGAAATGAACTCAAACAAGGCTGTAGCACTATCCAGTCTGGGTGGGTCTAAAATGCAGATTCAGAAAGACACTCAAAGTAATGCTCTTTACAGTCTTGACCTCGGTTGTATTGCAAACAGTCTTTATTTTTCTGTATAAATTGAAAAATTATTTAGGAAATATAATCCTTATGAGAAGTTTTGTGTAGATTGTTGCTATTCCTTTCATATTATTATGGTGATTCTACTTTTTTGAGGAAGTGAACCACATTTTACATTAAATAATTCAAACTTTGTGATCTGTGCTTTTTATGGGAAGGTTTTTCTTTTATCAATCTCATGCCAATCAAAGAAATTGCATTGCTTACCTATCTTTTTCTTAGGTTCAGCTGTTTGTTTGGCTTCCAGAGCAGGACTTTGACCTTCATCATTAACAGCAATAACTCTGAAATGATACTCGCTACCTGGTTTCAGGTCAGGAACAGTGAATTCTGTAGTTTGTCCATCCACACTACCAACTTGGTCCCAAACAGATTTAGTGGAGGGTCTCATCTCAATAATGTAGGATTTCAGTGGAAGTCCACCATCAGATTCTGGAGCTTTCCATGTCAAATCAGCTGAGTTCTCAGTTACGTTGTCAACAACCAATGGTCCTGTAGGTCTGGAAGGTACGTCTGAAACAGAAAAGAAATATAAAGAACAAATAGATGGTACTTATTCCTACTTTTTTTTCGTGTTTTGTTCTGAAGAAGAAGTACTAGGTTAAAAAATCTGCCCACACAAAAATAGAAATGCAGAATTACTTTTTTGGCCATTTCAAACAATACACTGCCCTTTTTGTTCTGTTACTGTTTGATTAACAGTAAGTCTAAGTATGTGTGTATCAAAATGAAAGAGCTATCAAGAGTACAGCTGGAAATAACTGCTGAGGGAAGCAGCCAAATTTAACAGCTAAATTTAAAAAGAAAGAACAATGACTCACCAAAGCCACTGGTAGGTTTAATGGTGGTTTCAGTCTCTAGTGGTTCACTAGCACCATGTTTATTCTGGGCAATAACTCGGAAATAATACTCAGTACTCTCAATCAGGTTCATAGCCTTGTATTCTGTGGTTTCAGCATCCACATGATCCATGGTAGTCCAAGATGGCCGTCTGACCTCCTTTCTCTCGACTACATATCCTGTTATTGGTGATCCACCATCATCTGTGGGAGGTTTCCAGGACAGGGTGGCAGAGGTTCGATCCACGTCACTAATTGTCAGAGGTCCAACTGGTTTTTGAGGGGGTCCTTCAGGTCGTTTTGGAGTAATGGCTGAATCTGTTTCTTCGGGAATACCAAATCCAGCTTCATTGCCAGCAGAAACAGCAAAATAATATTCCAAATTCTCTGTCAGATCTGAGATCTTATATTGGTTATCATAAGCCTTGATTTCAGCAATTTTGACCCACTGATCTGTTTTGGCATCGCTCTTTTCAATTTTATAGCTAGTGATCTTGGAACCGCCATCTTCAACTGGAGCTTTCCATTCCAGAAAAACGTAATTTTGACCGACTTTAACAGGCTTCAAATTTCTCACCTGACCAGGAGGCACTATAAAAGAACAACCATGTTTAAAAATGGAGATTTTGGCATGTAATTTAGATAAAGATGTGAAGAAGGTGAGGATACATACAGTAAGATGAGTGTTGTATCACATGGAAAAAACTGAAACAACCCTCACTGGGTAATCTACAGGCTAACAAAATTAATTAAGATTTGAGATGAATCTTATAACAATATTAGTTGGCCATGAAATCCACTATCAAATAAACAAAACCCACTTTCTCCTAGTTAAATCTGACAAATATAGAGGTATTCAAAGTACAAAACCATAGATATCTAACTTTGTTTCTTCACATGCAACCATTTTTTGAATTATTACCATAGTAAAACTAATGCTTACAGATTTTCTTGGTAATTTTGACTGTGTCTTTAGATTCAAGAGGTTCACTTTGGCCCTCAGCATTCATTGCAGTGATTCTAAACAGATATTCATTGCCTTCTTTCAAATCCAAGGCGGTAAACTTCGTAGTTTGTCCATCGACACGTCCTGACTTGGTCCAGGTGGATCTACTAGTTGGTCTGACCTCAATGATGTAAGCAGTAAGAGGAGATCCTCCATCTGTTTCTGGTGCTTTCCATTCTAAATCTGCGGAGTCATTGGTAACATTATCAATGATAATTGGTCCAACAGGTTTTCCTGGTTTGTCTGCAGAATGAAAAATAGAGCAGAATGAAAAAATAGTTATATTAGTACAGTTATGATGATGTACAGAGCTGCTGTTCTTCAATGCAACAGTTTTAAGAATGAAACCGAGTTCCACTGGACAATGTCCCAACTAGATGAGTGTGGGCTTAAGTGAGTTGGGATCCCACCCTGGGAAAATTTGTTTTCAACATATTATGCTCTCCTGCATTTTTTTCTGGTGGTGGGGGCCTGTAGGCTTGATTCGAAACAGTCTCTATGATAGTTGAGCAACTGCCACTGGAATATGTGTGTTTCAAATGATTACTGAGGTAGATATCACTTCTGAGATAGCATATATTCACTTGTACAGGACACCTAATGCAACTCTACAACAGGGTTGTTTAACTTATGAATTTCCATCATGGTCTTTGGCCGCTTTCTCTATATAATTATTAATCAAAACGGGAATAAGGGCACAAATTACTAAGGCAAGGTCGACACAAAGACTTGTTATGTGAATCATTCCACTTACCAAATGGACTCTTGGCTGTGACTGGTTTCTCAGTTTCTAATGGATCACTTTGTCCAGCCTTGTTCTCTGCAATAACTCGGAAATAGTAAGAAGTACCCTCGATCAAACCAGGTACATTGTATTCTGTAGATCCTGCTGGTGCTTTACCAACTTTAGACCAGTTATTTCTCTTGGTGTCTCTCTTCTCAATGATATAACCAGTAATGGGAGAACCACCATCATCTTCAGGAGCTTTCCAGGCAATGGTAGCATTGTCTCTCTGTATATCTGTTACTTCCAGAGGACCTATTGGTGCTGATGGAGCAGCTGAAAGACAAAATTCAGATCATGAACACAAAGTAAATGGACTTTCACTTTCTTTTATCAAATCATGAGCACAAAATGAAATTATTACTACTTTCCATTATCAAAAATGAAGACAGAATAAAATAATCTCTTACTGATTTTCCTTTGTGGTGTGACAGAGTCCGAAACTAATGTTCACCAACTCCGACCT